TTTTCTTTTATCTATTTTGTACAGGATCGGATGTCCAAGCAGCAGATTGAAACCAGCCGTAGAGTTGGAAACCTCTATGTGGTGGAGAGCTTGCATCTGCCTATGACTACCTTTCCGACTGCTTTTTTCTCTTTTCAATTAGATTCTCTGGCGAGTCCTTTTTGCTTGTGGCATTCTAGATTAGGGCATTTGCCTGCTAACCACTTACAGTCTTTAGCTCAATTAGGTACATTGGGTAAAGTTTCTCCTAGTCAACTTACCAAGTGTCAAAGGTGTAAACTTGCCAAAATGACAACCTTACCTTTTCATAAAAGTACTTCTATCTCTGATACACCGCTTTCTTTAGTTCATACGGATGTCTGGAGCCCTTCTCTTGTTCTCACCAAAGAAGGTTCTACATACTATGTGTCATTTGTTGATGACTGCACTAGTTACACTTAGATTTATCTTATGGCTCATAAGTCTGATTTTTATCAGATATATCGTACAACCTTTCAATCTATGATCACTACAAAGTTTGGATCTATAATTAAAGTGTTACGGCCTAACTTAGGTGGGGAATATTTTAAAACTAAATTTTGTGAGTATTTAGTCAATTTGGGTACCATTCACCAAACTTCCTGTACACCTGCCCAAAATGGTCGAGCCAAGCGTAAACACCGTTATCTCCTTGAGACAGCTAGGTCTATTTCTCTCTAACTCTGTTCCAACTCTGTTTTGAGGGAAAGCAGTTCTTCCTGCTACTTTTCTTCTCAATCGTATGCGTACTCCCTTTCTTTTTGATCGATCTCCTTATGAGGCTCTGTTCTCTCAACTTTCCAACTACTCCCTTCTTCATGTGTTTTGGTCTGCTTGTTTTGTCCTTCTGTCCCGTAAAGATAGGACCAAATTTAGTGTCCAGTCTATCCTGTGTGTCTTTTTGGGTTACCGTCTTACTCATAAAGGCTATTGATGTTTTAACTTACAACCCTATTTCCCGTAGTCTATATATCTCCCGTCATGTTTCTTTTCTCAAACATCTGCCTCACTTTCAACTTCCTTTTGTCACTACTCTGGTTTCCAAAAAGGATTTGGTTCACATTGATCCATTTCCTTCTGACGTCCCTCTTGATAAGTACATCTCTACGGTTCCCTACGAGCCTGTTCCATTTTCTCCTCCTACCACCCCTCTTAATGAGTCCCTCTCAACTGACCCCGATGAGTTTGTTCCCTCTTCTCCTCCTCCTCCTCCTTCCCAGCCTGCCCTTTCTCCTCCTCCATTGTTAGTCTATTCTCCTCGCAAGGCTCTCCCTTCACCAGTTGTCTCTGCCCTTGCTACTGATCCTCCTGCTTCTGACGACTTTGATTTTGTTAATCGTAAGTATCCCCTTCGCATCCGTAAACAAGTAACCAAAATTGGTTTTGCTAAAACATGTTTTTCTCCTTCATACTATACATTTTTGTCTACTATTCACTCTTTTTCAGAACCTCAGTCTTATAAGGAGGCTTGTCAAGATCCTAATTGGATTCGAGCTATGGAGGTGAATTGTCTGCATTGCAAAAGACTACTATTTGAGAGCTAATTCCTTTACCTGCTAGCAAGAATCTGGTTGGTTGCAATTGGATCTATAAAGTCAAGACTCATTCTGATGGTTCTCTCAAACGCTACCAAAGGTTTCTCACAGGAGTATGGTATTGATTATGAGAAGACCTTTACCCCTGTTGCCAAGATGCCTATTGTCTGTACTTTGATATTTATTGTCGCTATTCGTCATTGGCCTCTTTATCAGATGCTGTGTTTTTAAAGACTTAGAGCACACCAAGGCGCTGAAGGTCTCTTAGGGCTTAGGTGCAAGGCAAGGCACGGGTATTATTGAAGTTAGGCGCACAGTCTTTATAAAAAATAGAAAAATTAACATAAACTAATTCATAATCTCATTGTTAGGTGTGATGAATTAATTACATTTGTACCTATTTTTTTCCTAACAGAGATTGAGACTCAAAACTGAAATGGAAGAGAAACAACATTAAAGAAGGGAGGAAAAAATAGAGACATGGTTGCAAAAAAACACAGAGATGGAAGAAGGAGAAGAAAAAGACACCATGGAAGAGAAGCAAAAATAAAATAGAGATAGTGAAAATAAAAAGCAGAAAGAGCAGAGAAGAAGAAGAAGAAAAGAACACAGCATCAAAGAAGCAAAAAAAAATACAACAGTGAAAGGGAAGAAGAAGGAGAAGGACCTAGCCCAGAAAAAGAAGCAAAAAACAAAAAAGAAGATAGTGGCATGTATATAATATGATAGTGGTAGATAGTGGTAATATATAATATGTAAGTGGCATATAATGGGTTATAATGATGTTTGTAATATCTCCTATATAAGGGGTGTCATTTGGTCTTGTAAAATAAGAAGTTTTGAATATAACAGAAATATATTCCTTCCTCCTCATATTTTTCGGAGTTCTTCTTCCTCATATTTTCTAAGTAAATACAACAGTGAAAGGGAAGAAGAAGGAGAAGGACCTAGCCCAGAAAAAGAAGCAAAAAACAAAAAAATCAAAAAAACAAAAAAGAAAAAGAACTCACATGATCAAATCGAGCTGAAACTCAGACACCGCAAGATTTCTTCCTTCCAATCGATTAGGGATTTTCAGCCGTATTTGGGGCTGAGAATTGAGTTGTATACATCAAAGTTGTAATCCTATCTAGTTCAAGCCTTTAAAAACACTAATATGAACCGTCGATTTCAATCATGAAAAAAAAAAAAAAAAAGCCCATCAAGTGGCATGCCTTGCGCTTTTTGTCGCCTTATTCAACTCACCTCGCCTTAGGTGTCTTAAGGCGCATCACCTGCACTTCGATGCGCCTTGCGCCTAGGCATACCTTTCACAACACTGATGATGTTAAAAATGCTTTTCTTAATGGCTATCTCACTGAGAAAGTTTACATGCGTCATTCCCATGGCCTTCACCATTTCTCTAGACAGGTTTGTCGTCCTCGACGTGCTCTGTATGGTTTGAAGCAACCTCTGTGTGCTTGGTATGATCGCTTTCAGATTATTATGACTGAGCTTGGCCTTCAAACTTGTGCCCAGAACTCTGCTTTGCTTCTCCTCCATACCCCTGCTGGTTTTGTTACCTTACTATTGTGTGTGGATGATATGATCATCACTGATTCTGACTCTTCTAATATCTCTAAGGTCAAGCAGTATCTCTTTCACACCTTCAAAATAAAGGATCTAGACCCATTACAATATTTTCTTAGTATTGAAATGGTTTCTTCTCCCAAGGGTTACTTTTTGTCTCAATCCAAGTGTGCTAGGTTATTTACCGTGCCAATCTTACTGACACTAAGATTTCTGATACCCCATTGAGCTTAATGTGAAACTCAACACTACTGATGGCGTCCCTCTGGATGATCCTACTTTATATCGAGAACTTGTGGGTTTGCTTAGTCTATCTAACGATTATTTGCCCTGATCTTACCTATGTTGTTCATGTGGTTAGCCAATTCGTTTATACTCTTCGCTCTACACATTGGGCTGCTTTAATTCGAATTCTGGTACAATCTTCCAAGGCTTGCTGTTATCTTCTACTTCTTCCTTAGATTTGGTGGGCTATGCTAATGTTAATACTGATTGCGTTCGTGATGTTAATGATCGTAAATCCACTTTTGATTTCTGAATGTTTCTTGGCAATTTCTTAATTTCTTAAAAAAGCAAGAAACAAACTATTGTTACCCGTTCTACTGCCAAAATTGAGTATCATGCTATGGCTCATGCTACTGCTGAAGTTGTCTAGCTTCGTCGTCTCCTATCTGACTTAGGCATCTCTCAGGCCTCTCTGACCTCTTTATTCTGTGACAACCGAAGTGCTATTCAGATTGCCCATAACATCATCTTTCATGAACGAATGAAGCATATTGAAATTGATTCACTTTGTCCGTCAGCATCTACAATCTGGCTCTATCTCGCTTCCCTTTGTCTACTCGGCTCTACAACTTGCTGACTTCTTTACCAAGACACAAACCACTACTCGGTTTCAATTTATCCCTAGCAAACTCTCAATGGTTTCTGCTAAAACACATTGAGTTTAAGCAAGGTGTGAGAATAATATTAGTATATATTATTGTATGAATATTTTAGATTAATTAGTTTGTGTTAGATTGTTTGAATATTTTGGTTTAGGTTTATTTTGTTTCCTATTTAAGATTAGGCCTAGAATTGCTATATATATCAAATGTACACATTGTATTGATCAACAATTTTGAATATACAGAAAACATTCAAAAATCTTACAACTTGCATAGGCCAAGTATGTCAATGCTTCATACTAGTCATTTCTGGCTCAATGGGAAGTTATGTAGATCTTTCATTTCTTTAGTAGATTTATAAGTGAACTTAATTTTGTTGATAGCTTTTTGGCTTCTATCGTATACATCTAGAGTACAGAGGTTGGCCCATTCCACCATGTTAGTGAATTTTATTCACCTACCAAAAAAATATATATGCATGTTGCATTACATGTTAAGATCAACACATATCTATAGAGGGTAAATAGTTTGAGTATTTATCTGTTAGTTTTATTTACCAATCAGACAACAATTAACAACGCATAGGCCATGTATTCCAGAGTTCTGCCAAGAAAACATAGTCAATTGATAAATAAAGGATACTTTGAAGTTAAAAAGAACATATGTTCCTAGTCCTCATATATGAACTTCCTTTGACAAAAAAGGTTATACTGAAGGGAGATTGCACCCTCAATGCATAATTGATATGCACTAAGCATAGCAATGAGGAAAAAGAGAGAAACCACAGTGCTAAAAGTGCTATGAGAACAAAAACAGAATTGTTGTATATTACAGTTCTTTTATAGAAAAGGAGAAGAGAACAGAAGGCCGACTAACCCAAACCCATATAAATCACTATTCATGAGGAAAATTCAGAGTTTAGACAAGATATAAAATTTACAGCAATCAGAGACTTCATCATTTCAAAGGGAGAGACTACACAACAACATACCGATGCACGATAAATTGCCCCCTGTAAGCGGTTCTGCCAAGTTCTCCTTGACTCATCAGAATCATAACGTAGTATCAGAGCATTTACATCTTCCACGACCTATATACAATTCATAACATAAATAAATACAATGACCAAACCATGAAAACACTCCCATTCAAATAAAGAAGTTACTACAGAGCCAATGTCAAATTTGCACCAACTACAACCTTGTTGTTGGATCGTAAGGGATCACACACAGCCAATACATGTTCCACATCGCCAACCATTTCTGCCGGAACCTGATACAGTTGTTTTCCTCGTAGGCTACAAAAAGCATATCCGTAGGTTGCATAAATAACATAAAAGAACTCGCAAGAAACATGCACACTTGAGTCGAATTTATTCACTACAACTCCAATATCATTTTATCCCATTTAATTATAAAAATAAAAATAAAAAAAGTTACAATTTGTTGCTTTCAACTAATAGTTTTTACCAATGTCGACTTTCTATTAAGAGATTGGAAAATCAGTTGGAATATTCATATCACAATAGTAAACATCTGAAACTTCATGACAGGTTTTGTAAGGTTCTAGGGTGGCCTGATAACCAGCACAGGGAAAGATTAGCCACACATAGATCCAATAAGCCAAGTGCAATTTCATCTAACATAAATTAAAAAAATCAGCTCCATGCATGCATTTTAACTGATGAGATTCTTAATGTGGCTGCTTGCTGGCCAGTGTTTAATGTGGCTGGTCTGGTTGGGATGGAATAGGCGTACTTTTCAGGGTGTCTTGGTCTGTTACATGGTTGGAGAGGCTGGTGTTTACGGTGCTTCATAGTTGGGTTACAATCTCAGTAGATCTGGATGTGTTGGCGTTTATAGATTTTGTAGATGATTTGATTAGTTAGTGATTGGCCTTCTTTTTGGCCTGACTTTATGTATTCTTTGCATCACCTTGAATCAATCAAGTTTGTTTATTTATCCCCCCCCCCCAAAAAAAAAGTGATGAGATTCTTACAGAGACTTGTGCAGTGTCTTCAGCTAAGAGGTAAAATGAACAGTAGGAGGCTCTGACAGCAATGTAATAGAAACATTGATGCAAAATTTATTGCATGACTAAACAGGTACAATAGGCTTTGGAAGCCCAAAACAAAGTCGAAGGGTCTTACAATCATGAAGAAGCCTTTTTTGGTCCAAAGAGAAATAATGTCCATGGTAGTACTTAGTAGTCACGGGTATTTAGAAATTTCATAATTTGTTGGACATGAGTTGTAAGGGATGCCCATAGGCTTTGATTTGGATCATAGTTAGAGTACAATTAGAATTCATATCCATAGTTGGTCAAGAACATCTATTTTTAGTTTCTAAATAGTTCTTCTAAATTTGAGTCAGTCTTTGTAGAAGTAGGAGAGACTTTAGCCTATAAATATGTGTAATCTCAATTATTTAATGGAGTTGATATTATGAGAATTTGAGATTGCATTTGTGTGCAATTGGCCTAACCCTTGCAAGGGTGAAGCACATATTTTCCTCTCTTCTACTTCTTATCTTTCTTTTCCTTTGCACATACATTCAGGTATTGTTCACGAAGTTACAGTTCACAACATTAGAACAGTCAAAAAATCAACCTCAAACTCTTCTGCATCAAGGCCTATTGAACCCTAACATCTTCCCCTATCCTTTGGCCTTTGATTTAACATCAAAATTTAAATTTTGGCTGCTGCCTGTAAAACCCAAGTTTTCAGAAAATCCAGCCAGCTGAAAGTTCAAAACCAAAGCCTGTTTTGCCTCCACAAACTGTCCAAGTTCAAATATGTAATTAGCTCTCTGAACAAAAGAAACCAACTATTCTCTTGCCATCAGCACCCAGATAGTAATGTTGACATGGGGGAATATTCTATAAGTTGATTGATGAGGAGTTTTAGGGGTAATTGGCTAACAGCTTAAGCTTCTGAGTTAAAACCACAAAGTACACATTTGATTGCAGATGACACATTTTGGAAACCCTGATAAGTTGTATACTAATAATAAAAAAATAAAAACGCACACCCTGCAAGCATTGGAATTGCCTCTTTCAGAAAATAACTGCTAAAACAGAAACCTATAATGTTCCTGCTGTAATTTGTTCTGTAGAGGCCCTACTAATGGTTCGTTTCTATTTTCCAAGAATCAAATTCCATTCTTGAGCAAGAAATGGAGAAACAAGAAAAAAAGCACAAGTGCAACCATTCGTGAAAGAATTTGCAAAACTTAGATGTTTGAACCTGAGATACTGCTTGTAAGATGTAGAATCAGGGCTTTCGAGTACATAAAGGCCAGGCCCAACTAAGGATAAGTATCTCCGCTGCCATACAGCTTCCCTATTTCCCACACCCTACACAATAAATTGCAGAACAAGAAAGATCAGCTTGATTCCAAGGGCGAATGAATGACAATTAAGTACAACGAAAAAGAGAGAACCTTCCATGTAAGAACAGACAACCATCCCTCAAAATCAGCTTGATTCCAAGGGTGAATTAAATCTGCATTCTCATTATCCTCCTGCTGGAAGATCTTTACAACCTGCATCAATCTATGATAACGAGCTGGAGAGAAATGAAACCCTAGTGATGGAAGCCGCACAGCAAGTCTTGTTGACGGATAGGAGGGGTTCTCTGACCGGATCTGGATGTGAGGGTATAATTATATAGCTTCAAATCAATAGCTTGAGTCATCACAAGAAAGTCAAATAGAACATATATATCACACAGATCGAGAATAATGCGAAAAGAATATTACTTGTTGAAGCTCCAGGATTACCCCACACTTATCGATAACAGGCAAGAAACTAACAACATTAAACTGGGTAGAACCAGCAGATCTATTACGAGAGATTTGACTCCAACTATAGTCACCATCCACCAAAAATGCAGATACATCACTCAAAATGAGATCAAATTGTAAATACATATTAATCTCATCAGGAGAACTCCCTTCCCCATCATCCTGCACATATCGAACAAGTTGTACATGAACTTTGGCTTCAAGATATTTTAATCAAATAATTTGAAGAAAAAAAAAAGGTTTCTGAATCAACCTGACTACGAATAATTAAGTTTCCCAAGTCAATTAAAAGTTTAGTCGAATGGTTATTGTCCGGACAGAATTCTGTAGGAATGGTAATCTTAGGAGCTGCAATATCCAAGTCCAGGAGAAACCTACCAACATACAGATGCTAAATATAAATGCAATTTGTTCTCTTAAATCCACCAACAAAAAAAATTCATTTCTAGGGAACCACTAGTTTTTATTTTTATTTTTATTTTTTGGATAAATAAAATTTATTGAAGAAAGAGCATCAAGAAGATGCCAAAGAATACAGAAATGAGGAGCCCCAAAAAAGGGGAAACAACTAGCCAATCACATCATCAAGGAAATCTAGAAAGGTAAACAAATCCGGATCCACATGCCCTGACACCCAACCACACAAGACTTGCAAAAACCTATCTTCTAACCAAGATACAGAACAAGCAACTCCCTGGAAAACATGCCGATTCTGCTCCAACCATAGGGAACCAATGATGGCCACAGATAGAGCTGTGAGAATTATCTATACATAGTAACTAACAGACATTTACAAAAATGTAGCAAGCTGAATATTTAATAGCAGAAATCTACTACGTCACAAAAGAACACCTTATAGGAGAGAAGAAACTGTAAAACTACAGTTTTTGAGAAACACCCACTTAAAAGCATGTAGATCCACTTCAACTTATACTCACAGTCCCAAGAACTGTATCAATATATCATGAAATTTTCAAAATTCACCTGCTATACACAACCTCAAACAAACACAACTAGACAACAGATGTGCATTTTTTTCAGTCCGGTCATTAAACACTTTATACATGAAGTAGAAGGTTCTGCCAAACATTACAGCAATAAGGCAAAACAAAAGACATGGACACGGCCAACATAAACACATTAAACTTCAAGATTCAATTAGATGTGTTTGTTTCATCAAGGCATCAAGGCCTAGAACTACCTAAACTTCAAGACGCAAAGTAACAAACCTGGCTCGATCCTTCAATGCTCTGTTCACTTGTTGTTGTGCAGTGCGTTTAACTCCATCAATTGTCATCTGAAATGATGAAAACATCACTCACACAGCAATACAACAGGAGTGCTAGGTATCTTGTAGATTCTGGAAGATAAGCAAGGGAACCAACACACACTCAAAAGAGAATTAAGACAAGCACTACTATGATGGTGAAGCCGTTAATGAACACAACCAAAGTACACCAACCACTAAGACCAGGTTTTTCAATCACAGAATCAGACACAGTATCAGACACAAACCCGAGATTACAGTACAAGGGGTGCACCAGATTTTTCTTTTTTTCTTTTTTTTTTTTTGATGATAAACAGGAATGAGAAGCTAGAATCATCAATTTTGGGGGGCCAAAAGAACATTCAAGAGCTTTTGGATATGCATATTTGAATCAGAATTCCCTCTTCTAAAAGTTTTAATGATTTCCCAGTTAATGATTGCCTCAAAAGACATGCTTTATGTGTGCTTTTCATTCTACAATTTTTTTACCAAACAGAGTAAGAAAGCCTATGTTACCTAGAATGCGGATCGTTTTGGTACAAGGAACGGGAACGGGAATGGGAATGTGGTATGCCACATGCTCTAAAATGTAGTACGATGGATAGACTTCTTAATTTGATATCCTACATATTATAGTAATTTTTTTCAAACTAATCATTCCATAACACAATTCTATGAGCAAATGACCCATTTTTTTACAATTTGTCAATGCAAAACTCCACTCCATCTAGATTTTAGTTTGTTAAATTTGATTTTTTCCTTATTAAGAAGAAACTTTTAATGAAAAACATTTTTAAAAAATTATGGGATCGCTAAATTCACTTTTGGAACGGAAATGTAACATGTTTCAAAACGTGCAATCCAAAAGGTAAATTGCTAGGATGTTAGCTTTTTCTAGTAACACTGAAAAAAAGAGTCTATCATGATTCTTTCACCAGTTTCTATTACTAGGCATAAAAAATCATAATTATTCCAATCAATCCTTGCAGCCAAACAAAAACTTACACAAATACCAATGGTAGAACGAACATTGTCTTTCATTAGGTGTTTTGTTACTTGTGATAAGTAGGTCAGAGATCATAATTACAACAAGCATTGATGAGCCTAAATTTTTTTTAAAAGTACTGACAAATTTTAATGCCTGCAATTTTAACCATCCAAATTTTGAAAATGCAAAATGAAACGATATATTTGTTTATCAATCTACAAAACTTAAAATCACCATCCACTAAATGTGTTCAGCGTTCAGTGACAAATCAAGTTACTCTAACTTAAACAAGCCCATTTTCTAATAGATTGTCAGTTCAAGTAGTAAACTAGGAGTCATGAAACACACTTAATACGTTTGGGCCTTTAAATAGCCTCTGTTTAAAAATCCAACAAGCTGTCCTACAGCACCTAGCCACCAAAAACCCCAATTGCTGGAAGCAGCATCCAAATTTCTAATCCGTGCCCTACATCAATTATAATGTGAATAAATAATTAAAGCCTACTAATCATTAATACTAAGACAAGGCAAGTTGCATTAAACTACTCCAATGAACTGTGAAAAATAAATAAACAAATTTTCCATCTCTCTCATAACATCTAACATTAAATCATACATACATGTTCATCCACCACAATAAACAAGTTACAATGCGTAAATTTTCAACAGCATGAGTTTCAAATTGTAAAAATTTAGGTATTTGGCCAATTCCTGAAACTTCAAATATTTTTACAGCAACAAGTTATGCCTTTTCCATTTCAATCAAATAATTGCTCCACATAAATGAAACGTTCTTGACATTTCGTTCCTAATAAATCCCGAACATTTTATTTTATTTGTTATTTAACTCCAACTTAGACTTGCTTCAAAAAAAAATCTAAAGCATCATTTAAGTTAAAATAAGATCTGAATTACAAGTCAAAAAACATATTCACTGATTGCTGAATTCACTCCATGGCAGGTAGTTTTAAAATAAACTCCCTCTGTCCCAATTTATTTGCCCATTTCAGGAAATCCAACTTATTAAGGAGACAAGCAGTCATTACACATCAATTCAAAATTTAAAATACTTTTAACATAATACCCTTTGATTTTGAATTTTAAAATGTGTTTATACTTGTGTTTAATGGGTAATTTTGGAAATATAAAAATTTCAATACCCAAAATAGAAAGTGGACAAATATTTTGGGATGGACCAAAATGGAAAGGTGGACAAAAAAAATGGGACAGAGGGAGTATATAATGATCTTTCATGGAATTAAAAGTTTTAAAATATAATATAAACTACCAACTGTACCCTTGAGTTTCAATTCTATAAATCCAGCTGCCAAAAGTCTTCGGACCATTAATTCAGGACCGAAGTTTTAAAGCCTTAAATTTAAACCTTTACCAACATCATGTCACTCGTCAATCTTGAAGTTATAATCATTTTTTATTCGAAATGACTCAATGAATTTCAGTCTCTTTGAGTTAAAACTATTTTTAAAGTAATAACTATTATCCAGAGGAAAGGCATTCACAGAACCAAACCTGCACAGCAGCAGCAGTTTCCATAGCTATGGCTTGACTAACCACAGTGTTGCTTTCAAAAAAACTGATAATTCGATCAATGGAATCCTTCAGATACTGGTCAAAGGTATGTCACAAGTTAGTAGTTGATATTCAAGGAATGCCAACTGTCAAAGAAAAACAGAATGATAACATACAGTCACATAACATGGAGAAGCTTTAGCAACCATACTCCAGTCCAATTTAGCATCAAAAGGCTTATAGCAAAAGACACCGACTAACGAATCATAGGCAGTTGCACTCTGCATGGAGATAAGACAAAAGAATTTAGGCTGCCAACCATAACCTGGATGTGCAGACAAGAGAGAGAGAGGATGGAGGAGCATATAAGTAGAATAAGATAATAGGACCTCAGCAAGGAGACCATTTGGTGATGACAACTGATATGATCCCAATTTCACATCAAAGACTTTGGCTTCCGGATAAAGCTTTACAAAGCAATCAAGATTGTCACAGGATAACTCAGCCAGACACTCCTGATCATCAGTAAGCTTTGAAGCATTATGTCTCATGTGAACTTCCAGTGAAATATGAAGCACATCCCCCTTGTCATGGGTTGTTAGAAATTGTCCATCATCATCTTCCTTGTATCCAATAATTTTATTCAGCTGTTCCCGGTCTTCCTCATTGAAACCCCCTGGCTCACTTTTATCCTTGTCAGATTGACTACTCCTGAAATAATGCATGCATTCACTTTAGAATCTAAAACATCAGCAAGACCAAAGAATTGAGAGAACTAAAAAGGGATCTCAAGATAGAAAAAATTACCACCCAAAAGACCACCATGACTTCTTTGATTTCTGTCTACTCAAGTATAGGTCTGATTCCATTGACTGCTCCACAAACTTGTGGGCCAGCATCCTGCAAAACGGAAAAATACCACAAGCACTAGTAATATAAATATATATCGAAAATATCCCTTAATTACTTAATTATAAGCAACTGAGTTTATTTATGAGTAGTTTTTAGTGGTATTAGTAAGTTAGTGTCTCCTTTCAGCTCTGCAGTGCCACACCATAATAATTTCTAATAACTAATGAGAAGTAAAGGTAGATGCAATAACAGCCCCCCATCCACCCAAAAAAAAAAAACTAGTCTCCTCAAAGAGAAAAATGAAATGAAAAAGAATCGAGAGAAGAAAGGACACTCGTCAATCCTTACAATGCAACTGAAAAAATAATAATAGTAACTCTTGAAAGTAGAAAGAAAAGAAGAAATTCAGAAGCATAGAACATAATACCACTAACATTTTTTTATTAAGTAAATATTCATTAAACAAATGCCACTAAAAAAAGGCACCTATTGTACACACAAAAGTATACAAAATCAAAGAACAAAAATCCCATCAAAGCATGTATATACAACGGCTCCAAAAAGTCAACAAAAATCATGCATAGAAAAAGGAAAGATCTCTCCAAACCATACAAATAAGGAGACAAAAATAATGCCCTTCAAGCACATAGTAGATCTCTCAAAACCATTGATGCTGGCCGAAAGGTACCACATTGAGGCCACTTAAGTTACATTTTTAGGCTTTCAATTTTATTTATTTAGTGGAGATGATGTGTTCCGTGCACTTGTACAGATTTGACAGGAAATATGAAAATTCAATCAAAAAGGGCGCCAAAGCAGATCCTCCGTGCAAGAAATGAAGAATCCGAGCCAGCCAAGCTTCACCGCACGTGCCGCACGAGCGGCCCACCTAGGGACGTGTGCACTGAATTTTTGGTCTGTTTTGCTGAGAATAAAAGACAAAAAAATAGCCAAACCTAGGATTCGAAAAATTAATTCAGAGAAAAGGGAGGCTAGGGTTCTAAAGAGGTGATTATTCTACCAAAGCTTGAAGGACACTTTCATGGGGGTTTCTTCCTCATCTTCTTCCTCTTCCCACTCCTCCATGAGTGGCTAGTCGTCTTTTCTAGGGTTTTGATGAAACCCTAGCCATGTAATAGTATTTTTCATTAGCTTTAATTGTGAATTGGTTTGAATGGATGTATGGATGATTTAGAAGTTTTTAATATTTGTTTCTTTCATCTCTTCAAGCATTTTACTCTCTGTAATTGTTTAATACTTTCCATACATTAGTTTTCTTTGTGTTTGTATTCAAAGTATGAGACGAGTCATGCTATGAGAGACGGATCGTATTGCCACCATCTGTGTTACATGGACTCTTCTATTTCTCCCACAATACCCGTGTCCACCGGATATGACATGGATAAGGGTGTGGGATATGTGTCCGACGCTCGTACCCAATTTAGACACTCAGATCCTTTAATTTGTGACAATATATGAAGAAAAAGAAACTTGCATTTGTTAGTAAAGCAATATTTTTAGGCTCCCACATGAATTAGATATAGAAATTTCATATTTGTTTCTAAATCATATTTAATTTCTAATATATTTCTACATAATTTAAATCATCTCATCCGAGAATATTATATAATATGCAATATATATGTACATATGACGTGTCCCCGTATCCATATACAATTTTGGATACATACCCCAAGATCCTAAGATTTAAATTTATGAAGGTCTGACGCTTGGATACACACCCGCACCCGACACTCGCACCCGAGTCCATGTAACATAGGCTACCATAGTTTAAAGCAAACGACTCGTACTACTCGGGATGATTCGTGCCTGTATGTTGAATGCGATAACCCTCTTGATCAATATTTCAAACTTGTAGTTGTGAAATATTGAGTAGTTCAAACCGAATCGCAATTGTTGGCCAATGTTAAGTCTCATTCATGTGGTTAGTGGTGAATTCTCTGCCCTAGGATTTTTTCCGAAAATTAATATCTCAAACCCTAATTTTAATTGTCAGTATAATTCCTCAATTTCATTTAATTGCTGTTTAGTTATAAAATCAATCCTATCTTTTTTATCAAAATTAATTTAGGAATTTTGCGATTGAATTAATCTAATTTCACATTTATCCCTGTGAATCGATACCTAGATTTGCCATTATTCTAATAGAATTTGGTATAATTTAGTAATTTATTTTTGGTGTGTGTAACGACCATCATATTTTGGCGCCGTTACCGGGGACTTCTGGCAAAATTAGTTAATTTGAAGTTACATTCTTATTTTAATTTTTAGTTTAAGATTTTATACTTTCGTGTTGCTAGGTGTGCAAAGCGTTGGAAATTAGAACTATCACCGAAATGCAAGCAGAGCGCAACCGAGCTTTAAAAATAAAAATAAAAATAAAAACCGCAGCACTAAAGTGCCTAAACAGAAGCAAACACTCGCAAGCAAAGCACCAAAGTGCTAAAAAGAAAGACAAAAACTCAATTAGAGGTTGGAGACAACGTCTACGCGTCAAGCACCCGCAAGACGAGTAAAGAATTTTCGTTAAACCGCTGTGAGTATTTCTCCCTTTGGTATTTTGTTTTTGTAACTTAGTGCACAGAGTCGGAACTTTTTGTGTGTGTGTGGGTAGTGTATGCACGGGCGCCGTTCTTATCGCCCTGAATTGTGGAGTTTGGACCTTGAACTAAAAAGGACTCTTAGGAGACTTAGGGCCTCTGCTCGTGTTCCTAGGCTTGAATATTCATATTCATACATTGAGCCATTAGAGATGGCAAATCCAGATGTCCCGAATGTACCTAACCGGACCCTTAAGGATTATTTCACACCCACTGCATATACATCACCATTATGCATCCAATTACCCAACGCCACTGCTACTCATTATGAGATTAAGTCCAGCACCATACAAATGCTCCCATCATTCCATGGACTAACTCATGATGATCCTTACAAACATTTGAATGAATTTATGGAAATTTGCTCGACAGTGAGGATCCAGAATTTCACAAATAAGGCCTTAATGTTGCGATTGTTTCCATTCTCATTAAAGGATAAAGCCAAACACTGGCTGAATTCCTTACCTGCTAATTCAATCACAACTTGGGACCAATTATAACAACGGTTCTTGGAGAAGTATTTCCCATAGGTAAAACCAACCAACTTAGGCGAGCCATCACAAACTTTGCTCAAATGGATGGCGAGCAATTCTATGAAACGTGGGAAAGACTTCGAGACCTTCTCCAACAGTGTCTCCACCACCAAGTGCCTGATTGGCAACTTGTTCAAACATTTTATTATGGCTTAACTGAGCCACACCACCAAATGGTGGACTCATCCTGTGGTGGGACATTCATGTCCAAAAATGACGCCGAGGCATGGCAATTATTTGAGAACCTAAGTGATAATTCCCTTCACCATGCCTCCACAGCCCGGCAAGTCCGGCAACCAGTAGTTGGAGCCCCGAAAAGATGAGGCATTTATGAGGTCGGGCAAAACCTAGAGTTAGCCCAACAAGTAGAGGCCCTGTCCCACAAAATGGACTAATTATTAGCTGCGGGACATGCCCCTACCTAGCAAGATCAGCCTCAATTTCACGAGGCATGTGTTATTTGTGCGAGCCCTACTCATGACTTGAGTGAGTGCCCTTCGGCATCACAATTTCCGAAGTTAGTCCAAGAGCATGTGAATGCGGCTCAAGGATTCTCCAACCCGGGTAATGACCCATACTCCAATACATATAATCCGGGATGGAGAAATCACCCTAATTTTTCATGGAGACCTCCTTCACAAGGCACTTCTTACAATCCTCCACCACCAAGGCAGAATTTTAATAATTTTACCAACCAATCATCTTACTGGCCACCGCAACCTTATAGACCCCCACAACCGTACCGGCAACCACAACCCCCGCCTGTTCCTCAGGGCAACTCTGCCTTTAAGACTCAGGTGTTGGAAGTTCTCACAGAACTTAAGGCGTTAGCACCGGTAGTTCACTCCCATACTAGAGGCCCAATTGGGTCAAATGGCTAACGACATGGATCAGAGAGAGGAGGGAAAATTACCAAATCAAACTATGGCCAATCCTAAGGGACAATACGAGGCAGAGAGTTCGGGTGGGAATGGAAAGCACCATGAGTAGGTGCAAGCGGTGATTACTTTGAGAAGTAGGAGGAAGTTAGAGCCTCAATCAGTTGTGCCTGATGCAACTAGAGCTAAGAAGAGTGACCACGGTTGTACACCCAATGAGAGCAAGGGTGAGGGGGAAACACTTAAGGGGGATGACTTAGTCCCTAACACTTCACATGAGCCCAAGGCACCATATGTGCCTAAGGCACCCTTTCCCCAATGCCTTGATACACCGTCCCCTTTTAATAAGAAAGCGGCATCTATGGAAGCAATGATGGAGGTCTTTAAACAGGTAAAAATCAACCTCCTCCTGTTGAAGGCGATTAAGCAAGTACCCTCCTATGCCAAATTTCTGAAGGACCTTTGTACGCAAAAGCGTAAATCTAGGACACACGTGTCCCAAAAGATCCTACTCACGGAGCAAGTAAGCTCTATCTTGTTAAATGACACACCTCCTAAGCTTAAGGACCAAGGTGCCCCAACCATTGCATGCATTATACGAGACCATTTCATTGATAGGGCCTTTTTAGATTTAGAGGCTAGTGTCAATCTGTTGCCGTACTGTGTGTACGAGGAATTTGGGCTTGGCGAGTTGAAGCCCACTACTATCACTCTTTAGTTGGTTGACCAGTCCCTCAAAGTGCCACATGGCATGATTGAGGATGTGCTAGTGAAGGTCGATAGGTTTTACTTTCATGTTGACTTTTGGTTTTAGATATAGAACCGGTAGCCAGTTCTGGGAAACAAATCCCGGTGATCTTAAGTCGACCTTTCTTGGCTACAGCCAATGCAAGCATTAATTGTTGGACCGGGTTTATGGAAGTTTCATTTGGCAACATGAAAGTGAAACTTAATGTTTTTCAAGCATCCCAACAATCCCATGAGAGAGAGGAGTGCTTATTTGTTGATGTCGTGGA